TCTACATAAGAAAATGTATGGCCTACAGGTATTTCAGGATTCAAGAAGCTTTCTAAGAAGTGCTATAAAAGATACTGGGCCACATTTTATGTTTGCTTACATTCTGGCTAATCCTATGTAAATTAAAGGAATTTCTTATGTATAAAGTTTGTGTTGGATTAATTTATCATACGAATTGGCTAGAAAAAGGATGGGAATAGTAAATCAACGATTGTTAGATTTGACCCTTTTATTTCTTGTTTGAGTTTGTTTTGTTTTTTTTTTTAAACCCCAGCTTAAAGCTTCAGGTTCTGCTCTCCAGCTGCAGTGTAAGAGATCCCTGAGTTAAGGAACGTGCTCAGGACCAGGATACAGGTCTCCTGTCAATCAGACTGCCATGCCTTGGGCCACTGGGGACAGGAAAGGGTGAACCCATGACCTTTTTTGTTGCAATTGTTTTGCTCTGCACAAAGAGCTACTTACTCATTGGAAAATGAACTTATTTCTGTTGGGCGCTTGTCCTGGGTTCAGCAGTAGCAGTTATTTTTTCTCCTTCTTAGTAGCTGATGCAGCGCTGTGTTTTGACTTTCAGCCTGGGAACAGCGCTGATAACACCGATGTTTTTAGTTGCTGCTCAGTAATGTTTACTCTGACCAAGGACTCTGTGAGGCTCATGCTCTGCCAGGGAGGAGGGGAAGCCGGGAGGAAGCAGAGACAGGACACCTGACCCAAACTGACCAAAGAGGTATTCCATACCACAGCACGTCATGCCCAGGAGGTAACTGGGAGTTAGCCGGAAGGGCACTCTCTGCTCGGCTGGGCTCATTTTGGCAGGTGGTATCATATTCTCTCCCCTTGTTATTTCCCTTATCATTATTATCATTGGTGGTAGCCGCAGTGGTTTGTGTTATACCTTAGTTACTGGACTGTTCTTATCTCAGCCTGTGGGAGTTGCATTCTTTTGATTCTCTTCCCCATCCCTCGGGGGGGGGGGGGGGGGGGGGAGGGGAGGAAAGAAAGAGGGGGAAGTAGAAACTGTGTGGCTGACTGGGTTTAAACCACGACAGTGCTCTAGCTGCTGGATCACTGACAGTGTGAGCTTCTTTCAGCACAGATATTTGACGATTCAAAGTTGAACAAAAGAACTTTTCCACTCTCACAGTATTCTCATGAATTTGACTTCAAAGTGTATCATATGGCACAATTTACATTGATTCTAGTTAAATCCGGGTATCTGTACTCAAACTTCCTGAATTTTATATTAAAAATCTCAGATTAGGTCAAATCACCTTATATACTGAATATATACAGATCAGCATTCATAACGTAATCCAACATTATTGTTTTACCATAGCCTATGTTTTACCAGAGTCTTCAGTTCCAAGACACATTTTAAGTGATTTTAAGTAATTTAGTCCTATGAGACAAGATGGATATTACCCTGTAAGGGCTTGGAAAGTGGAGTACCCCTGACATTAATTGCTTTAGGTGAATAAAAAGCTGTTGACCTTCTTTCAAAATGAAAAATAATTTGGTCTTGCAAAATCTAAGTTTCTACATCATCACCAAAGACTTTCAGTTTCAGATTACTTCTCTGTTTTAACATTGCATTCTTGTGAAAAGAGACGGCTCCAATGACCACATTAACTTAAATATTTGCCTGGCAGCTTCAGATTACTGATTATTCTAAACTTCATATTTATGCATGGCAAATTGATGGCCTTTTCTTCTTCAGATACAGGCTGTCCCTCAAATGTGTTGGCTATGACTTGTTTGGAAACAGACAGTTGTCAATAGCATGCAAGGTTTCCAGTAAGGAGATGGGTGTCTAGGAAGAGCTGTAGAAATACCACAGTTTCTAGTTTTGAACAAGCAGCCTATTGCTCTGTGATCCCTGGTCTTTTTAGGCTCATTAGAAGACCAACCATCTCAGGCCCAAGTTATTATTCCAGTGTTTCATACTTTCTGTTTAAGCCCAAATAATAAATCATGGAGGGCAGCCATTTTGCAGTAGAGTGCTCTTTAAATAAGATCAGTATGCTGGGATGAACTCCAAATAAGATTGTTACCCACTTTTAAGTCTCTATCTCAAAATGGGACTTAAGTTTCCTGAAGAGCTGAAAAAGATCTCTGAAAATTCTTACCACTTTTTCATTATGTATCATGGCACTTGCTAGTCATGACCTGAAGTAGCTGTGGTATGAAATACCAGAGGAGAAGGAGGATGCGGTGGGAGAAGATCAGGTCCATCCAACCTGACCTTGAATGTTCCCAGGGATGGGGCATCCACAGCTTCTCTGGGCAACCTGCTCAAGTGCCTCACTGCCCTTTCAGTAAAGAATTGCTTCCTAATGTCTAATCTAAATCTATCCTCCTTCAGTTTGAAGCCATTCTCCCTTGTCACTACAGGTCCTTGTAAAAGGTCCCTCTCCAGATTTTTTGCAACAGCCTTTAGGTACTGGAAGGCTGCTATAAGGTCTCCATGGAGTCTTCTCCAAGCTGAACAAGCCCAGCCCTCCCAGCTTGCCTGAAGCCTCCAGCCCTCTGATCGTATCTGTGGCATGAGCTCTGTTCTCCTGCAGTGAGCAATAGCATACAGCATAACCTTCACGAGATTTTGATGGGATAACACGGTGAGGGGTAGGAACTCCCAAGCACAGCTCCTCAGAGGTTTCCCCACCAAGACATATGAATAAACCAGGAAGATTCACAGAATTAGAAGAGTGAAAAGGAGAGAGCAGAAAAAGAAAATCTTTTGGAAATGAGCCTGACATTTTCATTCAAAATAGAAAACACTTCCCAGAAAGTGCATTGTCAGCAATGCAGCACTGTCAAATAAGAACAGGGGTTTGCTCAAAAGGAAAAAGGAAGCTTCTCTAAGATGACTAGAAGTCAGTTTAAACAAATTTTAATTAAGCTTAATAGAGTCAGTTTCTGTTTTCTATCTCAGTTGAGGTAGCTGAGTGATGAAGATGTCAGGGTGTGAAGACAAACTAATGTGGTGCTTCAGGCAGATTTATGCACCTACTACAGTGTTCAAGTTCAGGACAGCAGTAAGCAATTATGTCCATAAGAAGTCAGAAGCCTGACTTCTTAAGCAGTCACTGAGAAAAGGAAGTCCTCTGTAGGAATATAAATCTTGTCACTGTCTGAAAAAACAGGGTGGCTGCCTTTCAGAAAGTTTATATTAATTTTCTTTGGTATTAATTGTGCATGTGCAATTGTGCAAATCCTGAGATGGGTTTTCAGGAGGGACTTGTGCAGAGTCCAGGTAAAACCATCACTTGGCAGAAAGCTGGAGGATGAAGCCTGTGAAAAGCACAGCTCACACCTAATGCTCTCTTGCAGTCCATGGACCCTCTTGGCTTGTTCAGAAAGCAGTTTCTCTATTCAAGAGGCTCTAGCTTCTGTCCTCTTGAGAGCTGCAATAAATTTGCCTAGGAAATGGTCAGTGCCTTGCAGTGCCTAGAGAGACACTGTTTATAAAGTGGCTACTTTAATGAGCACCCCCAGGGTTTCCCTACTCCATTAATGCAGTTAATGGATTAGTTAATTGAGAATAAACTGAAGGAGAAGAACAGGCTGGGAACTCTAACTTCACAGTATAGAAGACTAGAACATCTTGAAGGCTCACCATAGGGATATGGCTGGATTGTGGGTACAGACACATGAACAGGTAGTAGGGGTAAAAAGAGACTGACTGAACAGACATCAGAATGACCCCCACTAACTGCCAGTGTGCAAGCTTTTATCCCATGGTAAAAGACAGATAGTAATAATAAGCACATTGCTTATCTTTCAGTCAAAGAGAAATATGCCTAGTGTTTGAAGAGCAGGAGCTGGTACACAAGCAATTACAGGGGATCAGCTGTAAGTTCAGTTTCTTATTCACCCTGTAATGACTCATTCATGTTGCCTACACCTTCTGTTACTACCAAAAGCCCTTCAGCTTGCTTTAGCTCTGTTTCAATTTCTGCTAGTGTTAAAGGTGATTTCTCATGTTGAAGGCTCAGCTGCTGTAAAGCTTCACCAGCTGCAGTAAACCTTCACTACTTCACTACTTCAGGTTCAAACTTAAACAGGGGAAGTTTAGGTTGGAAGAAGTTCTTTACTGTAAGAGTGGTGAGGCACTGGAATGGTTTGCCCAAGAAAGTTGTGAATGCTCCATCCCTGGTGGTGTTCAAGGCCAGGTTGGATGGAGTCTTCAGTGACATGGTTTAGTGTGAGGTGTCCCTGCCCATGGCAGTGAGGGTGGAACTAGATGATCTTAAGGTCCTTTCCAACCCTAACTATTCTATGATTCTGCTGTAGCTCCCAGCAATGTCACCTAGGAGCTAGCTCAAGCAAGACCAGCAGATGCCATTCTGAGATATTGGGGGGACTGGCAGTTACACAGATTTAGTAATTTCTTATTTTCTTATCCTTCATTTTTTATAAAGTGTTTCCTTTTCCTCATTTACAACTTTTGCCTAGTGATTTCTCCCTTCTTTACTCAAGGAAGAAAATTAAGTATCCTTACTTTACATGTCTTGATGGAAAAAGTTGGACCATCTACCGAGCTTCTTCTTACAGGCCAGACAAAACTCCTTGGCATACTACCATGAGTGTTGAGACTACCATGCTCTGATTAGAATAACTTATTTCCTAAATGGCACCCAAGATCCAATTGCTGTTAGAAATATAACACTCTAAATCATATCAACATAACATCAGAACACAAACCTATCCCCCTTGGAATGATTTTTAGGCACCATCAAATGAAATGGGGACCATATCACATTTTTATAATCCATTCCCAAATCTAACTACCAGCTGTAGCTGAACATTTTGGGTTGTTTTGTCTTTTTTTTTTCCCTAAAAGAGTTTCAATAAGCAAAAAGTAATGGGAAAGGGAAATCACAGGTGATCTGCCCATTCCACCTGGATCCAATTGCATCTAATAAATTGTTTTGAGCCAAATAATATACTGTTTTGCTGACATTTGTTATGGACATTTGGTATGAGATGACTAATGTCCTTTAGGTAGACTCAAGTTCTGACTCTAGGGACAGAGATCTGTTGAAGTAAGATCTGACATTTTGCCCTGAAAGTGTAAAGGATTTTTTGAGATTACAAATGCTTTTACTTGGAATGCTCTCAGCTTCCTCAGAACAGATGGGTCTCGCCAAAAACAGAGCCAAAGCAGGCAGCCGGTGTAACTCATCTCTTAATACGCAGCCAGGTAACTTTTAATTTTCCCTTCACTCACTAACTGACTGTAGAAGTTGGAGTGATTAAGAGTAACTAAGTGAGGCTTATCCATTTTGTACTTTACAGACAATATTCTTTTGAATACACGAACTACATCAGGAGTCAGAGAAGCACAAGAAATTCAGTGAAAGGGCTTTCAGAGATGAATTCACAATTTCCTGCTCAGACTTGGTCCTTACCAGCTGGAATTTGGGGTTCCAGGAGAAGGGCAGGTCCCCAGGAGCACAGAAAGGCAGAGCTTCTGCTGGCTGCCCGTTGCCTTTTCCACTACAATCACAGTGAAAGACAAGCAGTGAGACAAACTTTGCTTCACTAAGTATGTAGCTCTAATAAAACCTCTATCCAGGGCACTGAATGCAACAGTATACAGTGCTGAGTGAAACTTAAAAGGTTTTCTTGTACAGCTTGACTGCTTTTCTGATGTGCAGCCAGATTCTGAGTATAGCTTGAGAATGCAGAATAGGCTGGAAATTGCATGCACACAATCCTACCTCTATAAGGCTTCTACCTTCTGTTGCAAATGGAAACATCACAGTAATTTCCTTGTGATGGTTTGTCTGGGTTTCCAGTTTCAGTTACAACCAGTTTTAAGAAAAAGATAACTAAGATTGGTTTATTTTTTAACTCCTCTTTCTCCCACTCCCTATCCCCAAAGAACTTGCTTAGAAATTTGTGAAAATCATCATTACTTTTACGTTTGTCCCAGTCATTTCACTCCTAGAGAACAAGATACTTTACATAGGCCAGAACCCTTTCTTGCTGAAGTTCATGCTCTGTCTGCCATGACTGCTGACGATTGGTTCTGCATGCTGCTGTTCACATAAGGCAGAGTACCCTCTTCCTGACTTTTAAAGGCCTTTTAGGCAACCTGAACTGTAGCCTATTGCTACATCTCATCCTTCTGATACGTTATTTTAGCTAATATTCTTTCAATATCTAGTAAAGGCTTTAAATTCCCCAGGGCCATTCATCCCGTCTGTGGTCACCCATTCTCTTTCTATGACTCAAACCTGGCTCTTACCTCTGCCTGCTGGTTGCTGCTCCCCACAGCAGCTGGAAATTTCTGGCCCCTCATGCTCATCCAACAAACTGATAACATTTGGTTGTCCCTCAACGTTTCAGCCCTTGCAAGCTGGGTTAACACAAGCCTGATACTTGTGCCACACACACTGGTGTGACTGGAGGCAGGGCTGATGCCTACATCCTGGCCAGCTGCCCTGAGGAGGGGAGAAGAAGGCAGGACCCAAGATTTGCTGCCCTTTGAGCACAGCTTCCTGCTCATCCATTGCTTCCCAGGGAGGGATGCCTGGGTTAGAGTCTTGGCCCCTGTTCAAACACTTAGCATGTGTGGGCTTGCATAGGGAAGGGGAGGGCTTAAATAACAAATAAATTAACTGTTCTCCAGGATCTTTCTTAGTAGTATTCTTTCACATGGAAACTAAAGAAGAGTGTAGACTGTAGTCAAGTAACAGCTAAGCCTGCCCTTTTATGAGTGTCAGTGCCTTTTTGTGCAGTCCTCTCAGATTTCCTTATTTCACATCCTCTCTGTAACTTTTCAGTGCCCAACCTTACCGCTACAATGTTTCATACCTTATAGAGCAATTATAACTTTTTATTATTACAGCTACTTGAGTATTCTTCCCTAAGGCAAACAGCAAGCATGGCAGCTTACTGGCAATCGGGGTGAAAGAATTCTGTTTACTGTGCAAAATGTATTAGGCAGCTCAGAGCTACAGTTGGGTGAGAAATTTCCTTTCTGTTAGAGAACACTTTCATCCTCACAAAATGAATGCAAGATGATTTATGTACATGGCAGCTCCAAATGTTTGCAAATACAGACACATGCATATTCATAACCCTAGAAATACTCCTAATGCACCTGCCACCAAAACAGTCCTGGAAAATATGTTGCACAAATGCTCCACTGGGTCTGTGATATCTCAACACTCTTCATAATCAAGTGTGCACAAATTTGGGAGTGTTCTCCCCAGATAGTTCAGTTTCCATTTAAAGACCTTTTGGGCACACAAGTGATATCATTTAACATATAGAAATTAAATGTTGATCATGTCCATGCACAACAGAGAGACTCTGCTAACCTGTGTACAGGGGCAGTGTGGATAAGAAGTGCAAGGAAACACATGTCCATGCACAGAGTTTAAGTTTAAACAGTTCAAGGGATGCTAGAGGACCGTTTATGCTCTACAGTTTCAGCCATGCTTATTCTCTCCAAGGGTTATTTTACCAGTTGTTTTGGAGTTATTCTTCTCCTGTTTCAGCCCTTAAAACTTAAACATTGGGGAAAGCCTATAGAAAGACAAAACATAAAATATCCTTCACAAGACAGACGACAGTGAACCTGTGCCCAGCAGGACAAGTTTATGTCCTGTGAATTCTGCATGGGTAGGGCACACAGCAATCACTCGAGTTAATGTAAACTTACATTGTTCCACCAGGGCATTAGAGTAAATTGGGTTTCTACACATGCATATCCTGAGGATTGGGGCCACTTATTTCATGCAGTATTTTTATTATATTTAGCATAATATTGCTCTAAATGTGCAGTTAATTACACAACTTCCTGTTCTAAACTCCATAATAACTATTCTTCTGCCAGAAGTGGATTGCTTTTAATAAGATTGTGTCCCCTTTTGGCAGTATGTGGTTACATATACTTCATTCCCATCCTTATTATTCACATTCCGTATCAAGAGAATACAAGCTCACAGGATGAAATTCATCCCGTGATAAAGTCAGTGGCATGCCTCCCAGGCATTCAGGAAGGCTATGTTCCCATGAGGATTTTTGCATTCCCACCACACCCTTCTGCTTGTCAAGCTAACGAAGCATCTCCCCTAATTGCACTGGCAGGGGGGAAGCCTGGTCTGTCTTTACCCCTAAAACACAGTTACAGCATTTTCACTCAAAACAAGTAGTTCTGTCTACATCCTTTGAATCTCACAGTCTCTCCTGCACTTTTAACCTCTGGATGTAGACATGCAGCATCCATCAGGAGATGCCTCTCCCCAGGACAGCCCTGGAGCAACCAACAAACCCCTATCGACCGCTGCCTAAACACATAGCAGGTGAACAGAGCGCCTCTTGAGGAACATGAGAAGGATGCAGATCTGACAGCGCAGACTTCACCATCGCCTTGTCCTTTTTTATTTTCCCCATCTGCTCTTATGCTGAATAGTTCCTGTGTGACATGGGGGTAATGTTTCTGAGTGTGATCTGGCAGCCTTGAAGATTCAAAATACATCTCAAATAATTTTTCTCCAGGGTTAGTATTCTTTATTTTCCTTGTTGCTTTCATGTGCTTTTCTTGGGAATTTCAAATGTTTTTGTGAAAATAATAATCATGAGTGTGCACAAAGACTTATTTATTTGTGACATGAAGCAAATACAAATACAGAAAGACAAGCACATATGCATATATAGACACAGATGTATTTTTATGTAATACAAGACAGCATATTCTATTTATCATAGAAACATAATAAATAAAATAAATAATAAAATAAGATTTTAATATTTAAATGTAGCTGATTTTCCTGCACAAACATGCTGTGCTAAGAAATTTTTGTGTTCACGCTCTGGACTTTGCTCTGGAAACACTATCTGAAGAATTCACTTTCGAGGGTAAAGCATTCGCTACAGCATGTTTTCACAGGCAGATTTTTGTAGCTTTCTGCACACAAAAATTCATTACACCTTTCCTGGGAATGATTTTTGAAGAAAAAAAAAGGAAGCAGCACTTATATATCTTTTAAATCAAAATATTTTATGCTCTATATTTGATATGCCATTATCTGAGATGAGTTCTTCTGCAGGGCATATGCAGTTCCTTCTTCATATATGACACTACCAGTTAAACAGCAAAGTATCTTGTACATGCCAGAGTTACTTACTGAGCTAGAAAGACCTATTAGTGGAGGAAATACATAATGAAACTTCAAGATATAAAAGTAGAAAGAAGGAAAGTCAGGAAGAAAATGCTCAGTAGCAGTCAATATAGTGATTAGAGACAGAGTTTCAGAAATGCCTTTGAAGGACAAAGAGGGTCATGCTAGTACACTGGAAGATGTGACAGCCCCATCCTAAAGTGTAGTTGCTTCAGAGATGACCCCAGGAAATGTGGCCTTGCCTTGAGGCATTCATTTGTCAAGTTTTGGGCCAACAAACCACTATCAGCATTGCTCATGGTCTGCCATGGATCTTTGTCACAAACCTTGAGCTAAAAACATTCAGAATTTGAGGAAAAAAAGCCTGTGGACTTTGAGGTCCACTCACTACCCACACTACAAAACATGGGAACTGCTGCTCTAAGATAATCAAACACCCAGCTGCCACAACAATGACTTACCTGTTGCCTGAATACTGTGAGAAGGAAAATGAAGCCTCCTAACTCGTGGAGATCCACAGTTATTTTGCCTACCCTTGGGCCACGGTGAAGTATTAGCAAAAACCCTAACAAACCCACAGTGTCTATCTTTTCTACTCCCTGTGCAACAGAACTTGCGGTGTCAATGGAGAGGAGAAAAGCCACCACTCTGACATGCATTCTGTGCAAAAGGAGGTGGCAAGGGCTGGCCAAGGCAAAGCTTGACATGTTTACACTGAAGCCTTCAACATACTGCTCATTCCATTATAAGTGGATCAAAGCAAAGGGCATGATTATATATTTGTGTAGCGCCAACAGTGTGTTAAGCACTCAATTTGCCATCAGAGGCTATTCCTTTCGCTGTGATATTTCAGGCAGGGATTCCCATTCATCACACTGATCCCACTCTGGGCCTAGAGCACAAGGTCAGCTGTCATTGGCTCTGTCACGCTCAAAGGCTGCAGTGCTCTGGTAATTAAGACTGTTAGATGGGAGGACCTCTTTTCCTGCTATTTGATGTAGAGTAGGTGCAGATGAAAGATTTATAGTTTTAATTCAAATAGGGGACTTGTTTTTGACAACTTAATTGCGTTTGCAGAGAAGTTCTGGACCCTTTCTCTTGCCAAGTCATTATAGAAAGGCCTCACATCTTGAATCTACCAGGAAGCTGTTTGGATTAAAGAAATAACCAAAGGGACTCTGCATTAATGCTGATAGAAACAATAAACATTTGCTTGTCCTTCCTCTGCTTGTAATAAATATGTTGCTTAAGACAGTACATTTTCATACTTCGAGACCAAGATGGGTATATGTTTTCCTAACTTTTTTCTCTGTCTATATTCATCTCTATAAAGGAATTTTCCTTTTTTATAGCACCCTTACTAAAATTAGTTAATGAAGCCGGTAGAATAAAAGGCTAGACTGAACACATACTAAAAACAGGTACTCGTTCCTTTAATAAAAACGTGATTATAAATAATAAAATATAGCTTATTTCTGTCCACAAAATTGCACTTTTTTTTTTTTTTTTTTTAATACAAAGCCATTGCAACACTTCACAGTTATCACAAAGATATTCCTTTCACCCACCTAGTAGGAGCTAAACATCTGGACTGCAATTAAAATCACCTAAAAGTTAAGAAATCACTAAAGGCACCCAGTCAGTACAGGCAGATTTCTCAGGGATATGTATGTATGTAGTGGGTTTGCTCATGCTGATTGGCTCGATCACCAGTGTTGGCTTTTGCTAGCAGCTGCCAGCAGAGGCAGGCTGTTATGCTCTGTTTGGACAGAGGGAGGAAGATGATGTGCTTTTTGTCAGCAAATTGCAGAGTAATTCCCAATAGGCAAGGTGAGACATCCCTGGCACAGGAGAACCTAGCTCCTATTCCTGGCTCTGGAAAAAGTGACGGATGGTCAGACAAGTGGAGGTACCCCATCTTGCATGTTGTTTGGTTCACATTTTGGGCTTGAGGTCTGTAGGAGTGCCACTGGTTTGGGATCTGGGACCTTCCCCTAGCTCTGTCTGGTATAATCCCACAGCCCCCCATACAAATCGTGTCGTTTACAACAATGAAACTCAGCTCATTCAAAATCTGAAACAAAAGTACTTCTTAAATTCCTTATGCTGAGCAATGAAAGGGAACAAAGCTAGGCTGCTCTATTTGTGTGGCTTTCATTACAGAGCATGTGAGGTTTTTATAACCATTGCTAACATTGTTCTCATAAAAGGAACTGAAACACAGAGACTTAAAGAAAGACTGGCATTTAAAAAGGCATTTCAGCTCCTTAAAGTGGCTGCTAGTTTCATAGTGAAACTATCCAGAAGTCCCTAGCTAGGCATTTTTCTTAGCATAGATGAGTACCTTCAAGCTCATAAAAGCCTTCAGACTGTTGCTATCATGAAAGCAGAACAAGGAACTTAACCATAATCTCCTGAGCTCCCAAAACCCAGCGTTTAAGCTCCCAATACACAACCATCTTAAGAATCTGAACGTGCACAAGTCCGTGGGACCTGATGAAATCCATCTGCGGCTCCTGAAGGAGCTGGTGAATGAAGTTGCTAAGCCACTGTCCATCATATTTGAAAAATCATGGCAGTCAGGTGAAGTTCCCAATGACTGGAAAAAGGGAAATATAACCCCCATTTTCAAGAAGGGGAAAATGGATGACCCAGGGAATTACAGACCAGTCAGTCTCACCTCTGTGCCTGGCAAAATCTTGGAGCAGATTCTCCTGGAAAGCATGCTAAGGCACATGAAAATCAACAAGGTGCTTGGTGACAGCCAGCATGGCTTCACTGAGGGGAAATCCTGCCTGACCAATTTGGTGGCCTTCTATGATGGGGCTACAGAACTGATGGACAGGGCTAGAGCAGTTGATGTCATCTACCTGGACTTGTGCAAAGCGTTTGATGCTGTCCCACACGACATCCTTGTCTCTAAATTGGAGAGACATCAATTTGATAGGTGGATGTCGTGGTTTAAACCCAGTCAGGTAATTCGTTCGCTCACTTCCCCCCCTTTTTCTTGCCCTCCCCCTGCTCTCGGAGGGACGGAGAGGAGAATCGAAAAGAATGCAACTCCCACGGGTTGAGATAAGAACAGTTTAGTAACTAAGGTATAACACAAATCACTACTGCTACCACCAATGATAATAATGATAAAGGAAATAACAAGGGAAGAGAATACATCATCTCACCACCAGCCGACCGATAACTCGCCCCCCCAGCCCGACCAAGCTCTGACCGATACCTCCTCCAACCCTGCAGTCTCCCAGCCCTTCCGGCTAACTCCCAGTTACATCCTGGGCATGACGTGCTGTGGTATGGAATACCTCTTTGGTCAGTTTGGGTCAGGTGTCCTGTCTCTGCTTCCTCTTGGCTCCCCTTCCTCCCTGGCAGAGCATGAGGCTCACAAAGTCCTTGGCCAAACCAAAACATCGCTTGTTATCAGCTCCGTTCCCGAGCTGAAAGTCAAAACATTGCACTGCACCAGCTACCAAGAAGGGGAAAAATGACTGCTACTGCTGAACCCAGGACATTATCCACCCCTTATTCCATACCATTCACGTCATGCTCAGATCCCACATTTTCAATATACCATCACTCTTATCTCAGTGCACTCTTATCTTAGTGCATGGACCAGTCCCTATAAAGCTGCTGTGTCCATCTGGTCCATGATGTCAGGCTCCATCTCTTGTAACAGTCTTCCAGAGCAGGAGAGACTGTGTGCAGTGTTCACACTCATGAATAACCTGGGCAATAGTGTCCATTGCTAAGTCCACCCCTCGATCATGAGTCCATCTCTGTGTTGCATCCCTGCTCTGCTGGCCTGAAGTGCATTGGGCCCACCAGGCTCAAAATAATTCACTGTCCCCTTCAGCAGTTTCTGCAGCTTGTTGCTGGGGACTCCATACAGCTGCCTTCCATCTCCAATGCTTCCAAAGCACTGGAGGGGCCCAGTGGACTAGATACTTGCCCATACTGTCCCACACACCCTGCCACTCCTGGCTGTCCAGCCTTGGGGAAAACCTCTTGGTCCCCCCATATCCTCGTCTAACCCCAGACAAGACCCAAACCTGACTCTGCTTAACTTTTGAGATCAGACAAAATGGTCGTGGGTAGAACACAGCCTGTGTGTGTGCCAACATGCTGATCCCCATCACAATCAGCAGGCAGGTCCCAAGGACACCCAAAGGCCATTCAAAACCTTCAGAACTCTCAGCTGATGCTGCTGTACTTGTCACTGGGGCTGGTGTAGCTGCTGTGCTTGCCGGCTCTCCCACCGCCAGCTTCTCTTTTCCTGAGTCCAGCTCTTCCTCCTCTGCCTTGCTGGGAAATGCTGCCTGGTCTCCTGCATCCTCCTGGGGCTCGGCGGGCGGCTTCCGGGAAACGCTCTCGGCCGTCGCGGGGCTGGGCTCGGCCGCGGGGCTCGGCTCCTCCGCGGGGCTCGGCTCCGCCGCGGGGCTCGGCTCTTCCGCGGGGCTCGGCTCCTCCGCCGCCTTCTCCCGCTGCTCGGCAGCCCCTTCCTTCTGCTCCTCGACGGCCCCGACCTCCTCCACCGGCAGCCGTCCCCTCGCGGCCTCCGGCCCCGCTCCCGCCGCCGCTTGGTCCCCGGGGCCGCTCTCCCGGGCCGCTTCAGCAGCCGCCGGCTCCCGGGGCCGCTCCCCCTCGGCTCCCCGCAGCCTCACGAAGATGGAGAGTAGGGTGAGGGCCAGGCCGGTGAAGAGCAGCCGGACGGCCAGGTACAAGTCCACGGCCACGTCCGTCCCGCCCTGCTGCTGGAGCCCGCCCGTATTACAAGCCATTGCCATAAAGCACAGTGAGACAAGAACCTTAGCCCAGGCCCCATACTTGATAAACACTAACACAGCAAATACCGGCTCTACGTAAGTTACAACATTCTGAAGCTGTGAGATCAAGCAAAACAACTCTGAGACCCAATAAATCAGCATTGTGACGAGTGACTATTAATCCAGTCAGATCTGTCGTTATCTCAACCCTTCGTGCCCCACGTTGGGCGCCAAAAAGAACTGTCGTGGTTTAAACCCAGTCAGGTAATTCGTTCGCTCACTTCCCCCCCTTTTTCTTGCCCTCCCCCTGCTCTCGGAGGGACGGAGAGGAGAATCGAAAAGAATGCAACTCCCACGGGTTGAGATAAGAACAGTTTAGTAACTAAGGTATAACACAAATCACTACTGCTACCACCAATGATAATAATGATAAAGGAAATAACAAGGGAAGAGAATACATCATCTCACCACCAGCCGACCGATAACTCGCCCCCCCAGCCCGACCAAGCTCTGACCGATACCTCCTCCAACCCTGCAGTCTCCCAGCCCTTCCGGCTAACTCCCAGTTACATCCTGGGCATGACGTGCTGTGGTATGGAATACCTCTTTGGTCAGTTTGGGTCAGGTGTCCTGTCTCTGCTTCCTCTTGGCTCCCCTTCCTCCCTGGCAGAGCATGAGGCTCACAAAGTCCTTGGCCAAACCAAAACATCGCTTGTTATCAGCTCCGTTCCCGAGCTGAAAGTCAAAACATTGCACTGCACCAGCTACCAAGAAGGGGAAAAATGACTGCTACTGCTGAACCCAGGACAGTGGACCACTTGGTGGATAAAGCACTGGCTGGATGGCCGCACACAAAGTGTTGTGGTCAATGGCTCAATGTCCAGCTGGAGACCAGTAAGGAGTGGTGTCCCTCAGGGATCGGTGTTGGGACCGGTCTTGTTCAACATCTTTGTCAGTGACATAGACAGTGGGATTGAGTGCGCCCTCAGCAAGTTTGCCAATGACACCAAGCTGTGTGGTTCGGTTGATAGGCTGGAGGGAAGGAATGCCATCCAGAGGGACCTTGACACACTTGTGAGGTGGGCTGATGCCAACCTCATGAAGTTTAACCATGACAAGTGCAAGGTCCTACACCTGGGTCGGAGCAATCCCAGGCACAGCTACAGGTTGGGCAGAGAAGAGATTCAGAGCAGCCCTGTGGGGAAGGACTTGGGGGTGTTGGTTGATGAGAAAATGAACATGAGCCGGCTGCAGTGTGCACTTGCAGCCCAGAAAGCCAACCCTATCCTGGGCTGCATCAAAAGGAGCGTGACCAGCAGGTCAAAGGAGGTGATCCTGCCCCTCTACTCTGCTCTTGTGAAACCTCACTTGGAGTATCGTGTGCAGTTCTGGTGTCCTCAACATAAAAAGGACATGGAACTGTTGGAACAAGTCCGGAGGAGGGCCACGAGGATGATCAAGGGACTGGAGCACCTCCTGTATGAAGACAGGCTGAGAAAGTTGGGGCTGTTCAGCCTGGAGAAGAGAAGGCTGCATGGAGACCTCATAGCAGCCTTCCAGTATCTGAAGGGGGCCTATAGGAATGCTGGAGAGGGACTCTTCATCAGGGACTGTAGTGACAGGACAAGGGGTAACGGGTTAAAACTTAAACAAGGGAAGTTTAGATTGGATATATGAAAGAAATTCTTTCCTGTTAGGGTGGTGAGGCACTGGAATGGGTTGCCCAGTGAAGCTGTGAATGCTCCATCCCTGGTGGTGTTCAAGGCCAGGTTGGGCAGAGCCTTGGGTGGCATGGTTTAGTGTGAGGTGTCCCTGCCCATGGCAGGGGGGTTGGAACTAGATGATCTTAAGGTCCTTTCCAACCCTAAAGATTCTATGATTCTATGATTTTCTCCACGTACAGAACACTGCCAGCGAGGTACAATTCAGGGCACAGGCTGTGCTCCCTTACAGCACTTCTCCCCCAGGGAGAGCAGAGGCTGTGGTGGGGATGCACATGCTGTTGGGAGGAAGTGCAAGTGCTACCAGCAGGAGTGTCTCTGCAGGGGAATCAAGGGAGGAGAGAATATTTTACATCTCCAGGACCTTCAGCTCCTGCTGCATCTGGACACTGACATTTCTCTTCTGATCACAGCAGCCCAGGGGCTGTGGAGAACAACAGTCCCTTTTTAAAGCAGCAGAAAGGAAAGATAAGCACGCATCTGCGAAAATTAAGAGCATTTGGATTTACACTGAAGGGGAGAGGAGAGAGCTGTTGGTTGTTTTTTTTAAGCTTGGTTTCCCAGAGAGCACTAGGGTTGTGCAAACCGGCTCCCTTCATGGGTTATTTCCTGAGAACCCAACCTGCAGCCATCTCCCATGTCTCAGGGACTTCCCAGAGGCTGCTCCCCTCCACCCTGGGTCTGCTGTCTTCTGAGGCAGTAGTGAACCATCAGGTTTGGATTTCAGTCTGTGGGTGGGAAAGGGAAATGGCCTTTGCCATTTCCTAAGCATCACCTGGGACTGAAATGAAGATTGTGACCTGCTAGGTGGAGGCAGACAAAAGCAAGCCAACTGAAGAGAGCAGCACAAGGATGCAGGTCCTTGCCCTATTCACCCAGAGGCCATAAAGTTGGGAAAAGTGCCTTTCCTGGAGTTAGTGGAGGCCACAAAAGCAAAAGAGCTATTTGTGATACCAGGGGTGGGACTGTCCACCTCAGCAGATGAAAGCTGCACATGCTGGTTTCAGCTGGGATAAAGTTAATTTTCTTCCTAGTAGCTGGTACAGTGCTGCTTTTTGGCTTTAGTCTGAGAACAATGCTGATAACACATTGATGTGTTAGTTGTTGCTAAGTAATGCTTACCCTGATCTTACCTGAGACTTTTCAGTCTCATGTTCTGCCAGCACAGGAAGCTGGGAGGAAGCTGGGAGGAAGCTGGGAGGAAGCTGGGAGGAAGCTGGGAGGAAGCAGACACAGGACACCTGACCCAAATTAGCCAAAAGCTAATTCCATACCACAGCACATCATGTCCAGTATATAAGCTGGGGGAGTCACCTGGAAAGGATCAATTGCTGGTCAGGTGGGGCCACTCATTGGTCAGCAGGTGGTGAGCAATTGCATTGTCCATCACTGCTGTTTATTGTTTTTTTTTTCTTTTCCTCTTTAGTTTTATATCTCTGTCCCTGTTATTCCCCTTATAAATAGCAGTATTAGTAGTATTATTATATTGTACTTTAGTTATTAAACTGCTCTTATCTCAACCTGTGGTTTCTACATTCTTTTGATTCTCCTCCCCATTCTGCCTGGGGCAGGAAGTGGGGGAAAGGAAGGGATGAGCAAGTAGCTGCATTGTGCTGAGTTACTGGGTTGCTCTAAACCATGAGGTTGTGCCCACTTTTTTACTGGTTCTTGTCCCCCTTGTAGCTTATGCTATGAGTGACTCTCTTCACTTTTACCAAATGACGGTATCAACTCATTCACACGTGTTATAATCTGGATCCAGGCCATGTATTGATAGGATAAGAGGATTCTTTCAGTCAAGAAGTGTTTTTCCTTCACATTCAAGCATGTACTCACCTGGTTTCCGTGTCACCCCTGCAGGATACATCCTGAGAAGATCCATCCACCTCTTACACAAAATAAAGGAGCTCTTTATTTACAGGCCTCCCTGCTCAGTGTGATCTGGAGCCTAGGCTGCCCAACAGTGTTTACATCATCAGGCAAAATCACCAGAACTACATTTGTGCAGGATTTTTTTACCTCAGAATATCTTTTTAATTTATAAACCCATTGATCTTACTCATCTCCCAGCTGGGTCCAAAATCAGACTCTGCATTTGCTTAGTGTTCCTAACAACCTGGCAGCACACATTAATTGTACACACATGGTTATAGAATATGGCTTTATAAAGGAGGGAGTTTTACAGCCCTCAGTTTTAGAGTGTCCCATAGTACAATTTAAGAGTAGAGCAGGGCTGGTCAAGTCACCACATGCTGATGCTTCAGAGAGTACTGCAGAAGCAAGCAGGAGTCATCCAAGAAAAGATTTGGTCCAGGTGCTTCAAAAAGGACTCAAGTTCCTTTAATGAGACAAAGCTGACAGAGCAAGAAGTGTATTACCATTGAAAAGGAGAGAAATGTCTGTAGGAAGTGAAGGTTTTGATGGTTTTGAAAGTTTTCTGCTCAGCCTGATTTGTGCTTGGTGCAGTAGAAAAGGAGGGCTGGAAAGGCAACTTTTCACCACCTCTGAAAACCTGAACAATTTTTCTCTAAATACCTGAAAGTAGATTTAGAAGCTCAGCATTAGCCATTAAGCTTTGTAAACGTTGGCCAATAAAAATGACAGGTTTTCCCAGGTGTATCTTAAATACAGTGTTTCTTGTTGTAACCTCATTAAGTGAGAAGCATGATAGATATTCCTTTAGCACATCCTTTGTGTTTCTGCAGTCAGTTGTCATCTATCTGTTATTCCCCACATCATTTATTTTATTGTGTTACTCTCTCCTAAGCTCTAGAGAAGGTCCCAGACAATTCTAGTGCTGCAGATATGTGATTTTGGCAGGATCACTCAATTGCTGTTCCTCAGAAATAATCCTGCCTTGGCACAGGGATAAAATGCTGCAGCATATCCTTTCTAATTAGTTGTGAATGCTGAAGGGAGAAGCCCATTACACTGCAGGACCCTGCTCTCTGGAAGGTGGTGAGAAAGCATCTATTGACAAAAAAAAAAAAAGAAAAAAACCCCAATCAGATGTAAATAATCCAGAGAACCTTATGGAAGGTGAATTAAATTTCAGATTGTTATTATTCATCTCGATTGTTCATGAGCAGGGTGAACTAGACTGCACTGAGCTCAGAACTGCCATGACAAAGCTTCAAACCAGTTAATTTAAAAATACCTCTGACTCTCTGCACCGTCCCTTGCTTCCTGTCTAGATACCTTTTGAAAATACGTAGTCTCACACTCTCCCTGTCTGGGTTTTGATCTAATACATGCCTACAAGTGCCACAGCCTATTAACAAACCTTCAAGCTGTTTAGCTGGGTTCTTTGGCAACCAGAGTGCCTGGAGCTGTGAGATGCTGCAAAGAGCAGCTAAATGGGCTAAATGTGTGAACATTTCTGACAATGATGTGTGCAGTGTCACAGCATGTCCATCCTTGTATAACTTTCTGGGTTTCCCACACAATTTAAATCAGGCCAGTCATTTGCAACTTGGAAGCATAGAAAAGAAGGTATCAGAAGACAAATGAAAGGGTATAACAATGCCGCAGACAAGAATATGTATCTACTGGACTATGTCTTAAGAAGGTCTGACTATCACTTTGTACAATCAGCCTATTTATTGGAGGTACGGCAATTCTCACATTACAGAGCACTATCATTTAGAATACAATTTTGATTAATATCACTCAAAAATGAAACATTGAGATAGTTCAGTTCCTTCCAAGGAGGAAGTTCAAATCCATTGGGGAAGTCACAGACAGCATGTGTAAACTCTTTTGCTGATAGAAAATGATGAAATATCCCAGAACATCATTACTGCTCAGTACTTCCCAAAGTCTGTTCCTCCAATCCCCCAAACTAACAGCCCTATGGATTTATGATTTACTGAGAGATCCACAGGTTTCTCAGACCATTCACTCAGCTTTGTGAGGAAGTGAGGGATTACAGGGAACTAGACAAGCAGGTCAGCCAAGGTTCGTGTCTTGACTTAACTGTAAGTTGATAGTGACATTTTCCAGATATTTATGGGGACTTTATCTTGGGAGATGCTCATTTTATAAACACAAGGTAGAATTTCCTGAATTTACGATACCATGTGCGTCCTTGCAGAGTAGCAGACACTTCCATCTCACCAGCTCTTTCAAAGACACTTCAAACATGAAGAAGTGACACCATGCTCTGTAGGCAAGAAGAGAGAGCTGAGATGTGGCCTTTGTCTCCATCCATGCTGCATCCCCCGCCAGCGTTCACGCATGGATCTTGTACCAGACACCTTCCCAAAATGATGCAAGAAAGAGGTGAAGTGTATCTCCTGCCTCTCCACACCAGAAAACTGTGCTTGCTAGCAAGGGATGGACACCAGCTCTTTAGAGTCAACCCTGTAGAATCAACCTCTGGGGAGCCCAGAGCCCCAGCACATTCATTAAGGGGGGTCTCCAAGGCAGCCTGGCATAATTTCTCCTAAGTCTCTGGAAAGCATTGGTAACTGCCTTCTGCTGTGAAACAGAGTCACTTTAAATTTTAAGGTTGATATCAGCAGCAGTGCAGGCAGGAGACTGCCAACTCTAAATCTCTTGCTACTCTTTAAAATGCCAGATGGTCAGTTTATGCAACTGTCTAATTGTTCTTGATAAAAAGCCAGAGGTATGCATGTTGCTTTACAGACAATAAAAAAATTGAAGGTCTGAACCATAGATGGCTTCCAGTCTGGATCCTTCACAACACACTAAGGGATGGGAATAACCCAGCTGAGAATGAGGGCTGGAGAACCCAAGGATTAGAAGAGTGAGAAGTCGCTCAAGAATGTTCTTGCATACACTGGTTGTCTCTGTTCCCAGGAGATATTTTTACTAGAAGTTTAAATTGAGATGATTTTAAGCAGGTCGGTGCTCTGTGGAAACGAACTAGTTTGGCACTAGTTGTAAAATTATGGTCACAGTTGTTACAGATGCTTGATTTCAATACATCTGGTATACTATTTGTTGAAAGATAGGAATAGCTTTCCCTTGAAGAATATGTTATTGCTGCTTACTACAGCTGTTCATAAGTGTTTCCAATAATGATAACCAATCCTGCCAGCCCTCATTATATTATCATTCTCTTTTATAATGCTTAGAAAATTGTGTAGGCAAATTTTCAAATTATCATTGCTCCATTTCCATCTAGTCTGCACCTTCAGAGGATCTGCCCCTCTGATCTGCTGGGCAACAATATGTTCTTCAAGGAAGTTCCACAGACTGTTGGTACACCTGGGAGTACAGCAGAGTACAGACTCAGCTGACACTGTAGATTATTGCAATATGTATAGGTATATCTCTGTAATCTAAATGTAAAATCTATTGGGTGCTGAAAAGAGCCTATTCTTGTAGAACTGTATAGAACCAGGAAGATTTTATACCTGATGTGAGCAGGATGTTTTTCTTTTACAGCTACTGTCTTGTCCAGGAGTATCTTGCAGCTAACAATACTCAAAGGCATAACAAAGCACAGGAATTACCATTCGGCACAGTGAACACCAGCATATAGAGGAGGAAATGCTGCTGTATGGCACTAATATGTTACCTGTTCTAAGATGGACAGGCCTGCAGCAGGACTATAAACTTTCTCTCCTTTGGAGAACTTTCAATTGTTCTTTTTTGAACTTTTCACATGTGTTTGGTCACCTGGTGCTGACACAACTCTATAACTTTGATAAAAGGAGCCAAATGTTTGGCGTTTTTTAATGTAATTCTCTGTAGAGAGAAGTAAAGGGCTTGAATTATTTTGACCATAGCCCATTGTTGTCACTGTCACTTCAACCAACCACATAACTCATTTTGCCTCAACAAAAATATAGTCTGCCAGGCATGGTTTTCTCTGTGTAAAAGAGAGGGCAGAAATCCCATTACCTGCAAACAAGATTTGTGCATCTACCTCTCATACAGAGATTCGGAAAATGTATTCCTATAGGCCTCTGCCCAGGGAGTTTAGTTGTGTTGCTGGTTTTAAAACTGATTTAAAGGTGAGAGCATGAATTTAAAAATATGGATGTTAGCGCTGGGGTGCCCAAACCATGAATCACAGCAACAGCATTTTAGAAAAGAAAAAAATCTATTAACAAATGGGGTTTGTACAAGAGAGCCGTTGGCTTAAGGTACAGTATCTGTTTATTTGAATCAGTTCTGAAACTTGATAAAATCTGGAAATCACTAACATAAATTCTTCACAGTCGTCAGGACAGTATAACCATAACAGGTTTTGGAACCTTTCCTAACACTTCTTTTTAATTCCTTTCCACTTTCATGTTAAAAAGTCAGAAACAGCATCTCTGAGACATTCTCTACCTACACTGAGAGAGAGGGATGCCACCGCCTACCTTATCCAAACATGCATTTGCTGTCTGGATATTTGTTTTCTGCTTTTTCTCAATAAAAAGCAGCATGTTGGGTGAAAGCACCACTCAAACAGGGTTTGACCAGCAGGTCACTTGCCAGAATACACTGTAGTGCCAGTGTAAAGGTCTGTGACCCATTTAGATTCCCAGTGTCTCGCAAAGGCTGTGACTGTAAAACACAAATGGTGTGGCTGCATTTCACATACCAAATGCAATACTTTATCTTCCTGTACAGCACTAACATCCTACCTTGTCTCTCACACAGACTCAGAATCATGTTACACCATCAACAAACTGTAAGTAGTTTACAGAAAAAAATTGCAATTATTTCCTTGCACAGTGCTTCTGGGGAAACACAGGATTATCCTGTTCCCCAATCCTCCTGTCTTTGAGTTCTTATATCCTAAAACATAGGGACTATAAACAGAGGGTAAGGTGAGAATCTCTGAGGGAGTTAATTACTATAGTGTTGGAGCTCTGAGATGGGTGGATGTGTTCAAGGAGTTTATCAGAGGTAGATCCTGCCTGTCAGACAAGAACCATGCACTGTGGGGATCCTCTACCAGTGACAGAGTGGGAATCCCTTGGACACAGTTCTTTCATACCTGTGTCTCCAGATACAGAGATCTGCACCTGCACAAGGATACATTAGGGAATCTGACTGAGAGGATCTGGTCTTTATAGTCAGTGGAAATCTGGATAGTATAATGGATGGAGTCTCAAGCAATTCTCATCTTGCCTTAAACTAGTTGTCTAATATGAAATCAGGATAATTGTAACTTCTCTAAATTCAGAAATATGAGTAGCTAGGACTATAGAGAGTTTTAGTATCAAATGAGCTAGGAGGAAAACATTTCCAACCTTAATAATGGTGGAGAAGCAATAAGATACATCATTTATTAATAGGGATTCTGTGTGTGCTATGACACACCTGGGTGCAAACAAATGGTGCTGAGGCTTTATTACCTTCTTATCTGAAGTTTGCCAGAGTTCACATAAGTGTTTTTGAGATAAATATATTTCCAAAGATGTGTTGCTGGTCCACGCCAGAGGCATTTGTCAAAGGAATATTGAACATGTACATGTTAACCTGAATGGTGGCAAAGGAGCTTTGTGCACATAAATTCTCTTTCTGGTTGGACTTTTGTAAGTGCAGGCTAGGTTCAACAGTGTTTTTTCAAACTCCTTTTGTCATAACAGCCACTACATTTCATCATGAAATCTATTTTCAAGAGGAGATTCAAATCATGAAATATTTTTAAAATGGGTTTATTTAATATGCTTTGCACTTTAGTCATGGTAGGAAATACTTCTTTCAAGAGCATCTGGCTCTCTGGGCTTCAGTTCTCTGGGCTGAACATAGCAAGAATCTTTTGTTTCTTTCAGACTCTCAGAGTTCCTGCCATCTGGCAATCAGGAAAGTGCAGAACAAAAGGATGTTTCCAACAAACACCAGCTTCAGCAAAAGCTTTTTTTTAAGTTTTCAACCAATTTTGGGTCTGCATCATAAAGCAAAAAGAATGGTATAAAATGTGAAGAGCTGTGCTGTGTAAACAGATCACTGTTGATGTGTGTTCCACAGCTGGACTCACGGCCACATTAACTTGTTCTGTTGCGATAAAGTTTTAACATCCAGGTTTCATCTGCCAGCTGATAAATGATGGTAGACAAATTAAAAACAGTTTTGTTAGCAAGAAACAACAGTGTATCAGGAGTCTGTCAATTAGGTGCTAGCACAGAGCGTTGTCATTACACAAATGTCTTTTGGCTATAAATGTATGTCCAGCAACTCTACTAGAAACCTGGGTCTAGAGGATTGCTAATAGCAGCCCGATTTCAAAGTTCATTAGGCTAAGACTTGGCAGAACTGATTCTCAGGACAGATGTGCATTTTTTTATTCTTCAAAAAAATCGTATCAGTCCATTCAAGAAACTTTGATCTAGAATTTGGCAAACAGCTTACAATTCTCAAAGTTTCATATGGACGTTTTTATTCCAAACTTTAGGTTAACAATGGTTTCCTCAAAAAAAAAAAAAAAAAAAAAAAAAGCTCTTGTAAGCCCTTCAAGATAGCTGTATTGGCCTCCTACACTTTTTTCCCCTTCCCCCTCCTCAAATATTGCTTGCAAATGGCAGATAACAAAAATGCATGAACATGCCTAGTAGCCTTGTTGCCATGCTTCAGTGCCAAATTGAAACCATGCCACCCTATAACAAACCTTGACCTGCAGGGTAATTGCTCCATTTTTCATGGTTTCCTACTCTGCTGTGGACATTTCAAATTGCACTGACCTGCCACCCACTATTCCAGACAACTCACCAGCCAGGAGTCCAGCTTTTAAATGAAACAGGGTTTTAACTCCAAAATGGCATGAGGAATTTAACTGCTTCAAGATGTATCATGTATTGCTAACCAAAGCCTGGAGTGCTACCTAATATACAACATCCCCATGGAAATGTCAGCAAATGCTACTGCAGTGCAGAAATAGCAGAAGCAGCCTACAGTACAGGGAACGAGGGGGAAGATTATAGCTGTACTGGTGAGCTTCATTGCTGGAAGTTTTCAAAATAGGTCTGCAACTACACCTAGATTTTTACTGAATCATGTCACAGATTTCCAGAGGTTTTTATGGACTGAACAATATAATTGATGCGATTAAAAAAGGCACTGGATCGTTAAAAGGTATTTTTAGTGGACAGCTAGTCTTTTAAAGCAGCAGCAAGTAAGCCTCAGTAGAGACAGTTTCATGCCAGCATCTAAAACCACAGATTTTCTACAGTCCTCCTGATACTTTTGAAGGTCTCTCTTTGTGCTTAGACCTGGATTAAAATAAAGGTGCTGCAAACGTTTTTCACAGGACCCCAGCTCCTTCAGATTCACAAGGGTCTAATTTTTGCTTTCATTAGTGTTTAGGATATAATATCCTTTTCTAGCCCAAGCTGGTACAAAGCACACCTTGAAAATATAATTGTCCACCTTTTTCTGCAGGCAGCCTGGAATAAGGATTTGTGCCATATAACCCATCTGGGCGTCTAAGCACTATAATATTTAACTCCATTGGCATATCAGTAACAGAGGAAGCCTGTGGCAGAAGAAAATGCTGGCTGGCCCAAAACACCCTCTAAAGCAGACACAGCATGTGCTTAACCAGGCTTAGTGAAGACCAGGCGTAAGGTCTGGCCTCCTCAGGGTAAGTCAGCAGTGCCACTCTGGCCTGCCTAAGGAAAGCTGCTCCTCTGACTCAGGGAGAGCGCACCGCAGTTTTGGGAAGCTAAGGAGCCTCCCTTAATCTGAGCCATCTGGTCTGGCAGGATGAGCCCATATTGCCCCATCAGACAGAGCTCTCAGGTGATGCTTTCAGCTGTCATTGCTGGCATCAGGACAGCATGAAGAGGGACATTGGCTCTCTGTGCAGTGCAACTCCCCCAGATTCTTCTGCTACCCTAAAGCAGAAAAGCATCATTTTAGGAGAGGGCACCTGCTCCTCTTAACTGAAGTCCACTTAGCCCAGCAGGGACTCTTTTGGCTACAAAGAGGTGCTGGGTTTTTGCATTCTGTCAGGCTCTTTAGTATTGTTTCTTGATGAACGGCATTAATAAGGCAGGTGTTTTACCCAGCCCAATTGGTGTTTTGTCCCTGGAGAGGTGTTAGCCAGTGGTGTGAGAGAAGGATGTTCATGTAGTAAATCTTTTGTTATTTAAATAGGAAACATTTTTAATAGGGGATACAGGCAGTGTTTAAAAGCTGCAGAGCTAGACACTCCAGGGATCAGCTGTAAATGAAGGTTAAGCCTTGTGAAGGCTTCTACTTTAGCTTTTTTATTGGGACTGCTATTGTGACTGAGGCCTTGATGTTTTATAACTCTGGCCATATGGTTATGTGGTTTTGGAGAAGAGGGTTTGGCGAAGGGCAGGGGAAAGCATGAAGGGAAGGGAGGTTGCTGTTACTGCTGCAGTAGAAGAAGTATGTTCAAATTTCCCATTGTGGTGTGTCCTAACTTACAGCATATGGGTACCAATTCCACAGTCTTTATGGGGAAATCACATGGGCATTGTTAAATCATTTAATCTAAACTTTGAAAAAGAAAAATAATAAGGTGATTAAGGACAATCTGAAGCTACTTGATAATGTGATACTGAGGGGATGGAATCAACTTTCATTACTGAGCTAGGATGAACACAGGATGCTGAGTGCAGGGAATAGGTAGCTGGTGGGTTTTTCTGATATTTTGCAATAGGGCAGCTGCTCATGTTCTTTCCGCTACAAGAGAGACAGATGCACAAAGAGAGAGCTTCAATGCCTTCTGCAGAGAGCTCTATTATTCTGAGCTGAAATTGAACCATGTTCATTTTAAAGCATTGCAATATAGCCTTTTTATTTCCTCCAGCTGTGGGTCTTGACTTTCAGCTGGAAAGAGGGGGCAAAAAAGCAGGGCAATAGAAGGACTGGAAAAAGTAAAACCGCAGGATGCCTGTCAATACCTGCTCTTGAGTTAGGAAACTCTAAACAGGACTATAATTGAAAGAAATTGAAATCCAGGGAGCGCAAGCGACCAGGAGAGCGGCGACCAGAGCAGGTCGAGGTAGTTTGCGCGGCAGTTCGCGCGGGCAGGCGAGCGGGATGGTGAGCACGCGTTGTATGAGCAGGGCCCGGTCCGGGAGCTCTGCTCTGGCTGCCCCGGCGGTGGCAGCGGAGGCACCCAGACAGAGCCGATGAGAGGGGAGGCTGCAGTGCAGAGCTCGGGGTGTAGAGAGGAGAGTGCCTGCACTGGTCCGGTGAGGGGAGGGTGCGCCATGGGCAGGGCTGCACTCGGTGCTCCCTGATGGAGGTCCTCCTGCAGCAGGGGCTGAGCTGCGGGATGCTGTCAATAGACTGCGAGATGTCAGGGAAGCTGAGAGGAAGCAGGAATGCTTGTTCCTGGCCCGAACTGTGCAGGGGCCTCGAGCTTCCCCTCTACCTCATGGAGGAAAGAAGGAGGCCGTTACCCTGGGAAGCTGGGAATTAGTGACAAAAAAAAACCCAACAAAAAAAAAAAGAAGGAAAAGGACAACCAAAAGCGAGGGGCTTCCCCCTAAATCCCCTGTCCCCACCAGAACCGCTTTGCTGTCCTGCAGGGGGCTAATGAGGAAGCGCACTCGAGCCAGGAACAGCCGGCTGGTGCACTGCTAAAGAAGATCTCTACTGGTGCCGCTAGGAAAAAGCGGCGGTCGTAGTAGCAGGGGATTCTACACTGAAAGGGACAGAAGCACTCGTCTGCCGGCCAGACCCTGTCTCAAGGGAGGTGTGTTGCCTACCGGGAGCACAGATCAGGGATGTTGCAGAGAGGCTGCCTGCTCTAGTAAGTCCCACGGACTATTACCCACTCCTGGTGATACATGTGGGTGCTAGGGACATAGATAGTAGTAGCCTGGGGAACATAAAGAAGGACTACAGAGCCCTGGGGGAGGTGGTTAGGGGCTCTGGAGCTCAGGTGGTCTTTTCATCAGTTCTCCAGGGTAGAGGGGAGGACCTAAAAAAAGCTGGGAGGATTGGCCAGGTTAATAACTGGTTAAAAGGGTGGTGTCATAGTCAGGGGTTTGGGTGTCTTGAACATGGGACCCAAGGTTGTAGGCCAGGTCTAGTGGGGGCTGGTGGAGCTGGTCTGATAAAGAAGGGAAAGAGCAGTTTTGGTAGGAGGCTTGCCAGACTGGTCAAGGAGGCTTTAAACTAGATGTGTTGGGGGAGAGGAACATCATTCCATCCCAACACATCCAGTCAGTTGCCAGAACCTATAATAAATGCCTGGAGCAATGTAGAGATATCCCAGCCGCTCCAGCCAATGAGCCAGCTTCAGTTGGAGCTCGGCTCAGATGCCTCTGTACGAATGCCATTAGCATGGGGAACAAACAAGAGGAATTAGAGATGTGTGCACGTCTACGGGGGTATGATATAATAGGCATCACAGAAACATGGTGGGATGGCTCCTATGACTGGAGTGTCGGAATGGAAGGTTACAGGCTCTTTAGGAAAGACAGGCCTGGCAGGTGGGGAGGGGGAGTTGCCCTTTATGTTAGGGATAGGCTGGAGAGTATGGAACTCTTGTCTGGGGACAGGTGAGCAGTCCACAGAGAGTTTGTGGGTCAGGGTTAAAGGGAGAACAGCGATGGGAGACATTACTGTGGGGATCTGTTACAGACCGCCTGATCAAGGAGAACCCGAGGATGAAGCACTCCATAGACAGATAGGAAAAGCCTCATGCTCCCAGGCCCTTGTTCTCATGGGTGACTTCAACCACCCTGACATCTGTTGGAAGGACGGTACGGCCCGGCACAAGCAATCCAGGAGGTTCCTCGATTGTGTAGAAGACAACTTCCTTCTGCAAGTAATAGAGGAGCCGACAAGGAGAGGTGCCATGCTTGACCTCGTGCTCACCAACAGGGAAGGGCTCGTTGGAAATGCGACTCTACAGGGCAGCCTTGGATGCAGCGATCATGAGATGCTCGAATTTGAGATCATCAGGACAGTGAGGAGAGCGTGCAGCAAGCTCACTGACCTGGACTGCAAAAGAGCAGACTTTGGCCTCTTCAGGAACCTGCTTCGGAAGGTTCCATGGGATACAGCCCTCGAGGGCAGGGGGGCCTGAGGCTGTTGCTTGATATTCAAGATCACCTGCTACAAGCTCAGGAGTGTTGCATCCCAACCAGAAGGAAGTGCAGCAGACCTCCTTGGATGGATAAGGAGCTCCTGAGGAAAATTCAATTGATAAAAGAGGCTTATAATAAGTGGAAGCAAGGACAGGTGGCATGGGAAGAATACAGGGATATCGTCCGAGAAGCTAGGGACCAGGTTAGGAAAGCAATGGCCCAGTTAGAATTAAACTTAGCTAGAGGTATTAAAGATAACAGGAAGGGATTCTACAAGTACATAGCAAATAAAAGACAGACCAGGTTAGGAAAGCAATGGCCCAGTTAGAATTAAACTTAGCTAGAGGTATTAAAGATAACAGGAAGGGATTCTACAAGTACATAGCAAATAAAAGACAGACTAGGGAGAATGTAGGCCCTCTCAGGAAGCTCTCGGGAGAACTGGCTACACAGGATTTGGAGAAGGCTGAGGTTCTGAATGACTTCTTTGCCTTGGTCTTCACTGCCAAAGGCTCTGACTGCACCACCCAAGTCTTGGAAGACAGATGCAGGGACTGGGAGAATGAAGACCTTCGGCCCACTGTAGGAGAGGATCTGGTTTGAGACCATCTTAAAAATCTGAATGTGCACAAGTCCATGGGTCCTGATGAGATCCATCCGCGGGTCCTGGAGGAGCTGGCAAATGAAGGTGTGAAGCGGCTGGCCATCATAATTGAGAAATCACAGCAGTCAGGTGAAGTTCCCAATGACTGGAAAAAGGGAAATATAACCCCCATGTTCAAGAAGGGGAAAATGGATGACCCAGGAAATTACAGACCAGTCAGTCTCACCTCTGTGCCTGGCAAAATCTTGGAGCAGATTCTCCTGGAAGGCATGCTAAGGCACATGAAAAACAACAAGGTGGTTGGTGACAGCCAGCATGGCTTCACTAAGGGGAAATCCTGCCTGACCAATTTGGTGGCCTTCTATGATGGGGCTACAGAACTGATGGACAGGGCTAGAGCAGTTGATGTCATCTACCTGGACTTCTGCAAAGCGTTTGATGCTGTCCCACACAACATCCTTGTCTCTAGATTGGAGAGACATCAATTTGATGGATGGACCACTTGGTGGATAAAGAACTGGCTGGATGGCCGCACGCAAAGTATTGTGGTCAATGGCTCAATGTCCAGCTGGAGACCAGTAAGGAGTGGTGTCCCTTAGGGATCAGTGTTGGGACCGGTCTTGTTCAACATCTTTGTCACTGACATGGACAGTGGGATTGAGTGCGCCCTCAGCAAGTTTGCCAATGACACCAAGCTGTGTGGTTCAGCTGATACGCTGGAGGAAAGGGATTACATCCAGAGGGACCTTGACACACTTGTGAGGTGGGCTGATGCCAACCTTATGAAGTTTAACCATGGCAAGTGCAAGGTCCTACACCTGGGATGGGGCAATCCCAGGCACAGCTACAGGTTGGGCAGAGAAGAGATTCAGAGCAGCCCTGTGGAGAAGGACATGGGGGTGTTGGTTGATGAGAAAATGAACATGAGCCGGCTGCAGTGTGTGCTTGCAGCCCAGAAAGCTGACTGTATCCTGGGCTGCATCAAAAGGAGCGTGACCAGCAGGTTGAAGGAGGTGATCCTGCCCCTCTACTCTGCTCTTGTGAAACCTCACTTGGAGTATTGTGTGCAGTTCTGGTGTCCTCAACATAAAAAGGACATGGAACTGTTGGAACAAGTCCGGAGGAGGGCCACGAGGATGATCAAGGGACTGGAGCACCTCCTGTATGAAGACAGGCTGAGAAAGTTGGGGCTGTTCAGCCTGGAGAAGAGAAGGCTGCATGGAGACCTCATAGCAGCCTTCCAATATCTGAAGGGGACCTATAGGAATGCTGGAGAGGGACTGTTCATTAAAGACTGTAGTGACAGGACAAGGGGTTATGGGTTTAAACTTAAACAGGGGAAGTTTAGGTTGGATATAAGAAAGAAATTCTTTCCTGTTAGGGTGGTGAGGCACTGGAATGGGTTGCCCAGGGAGGTTGTGAATGCTCCATCCCTGGCAGTGTTCAAGGCCAGGTTGGACGAGGCCTTGGGTGATACGATTCAGCGTAAGGTGTCCCTGCCCTTCTCAGGGGGGGTGGAACTAGATGATCTTAAGGTCCTTTCCAACCCTAACTATTCTATGATTCTATGATTCTAAATTCAGGCAAGGTACTGCCTCCCCCTAGAAATACGCACAGTTATTGTCCTTCTCCAAATATTTAAGATGCACTATTGAGGAATTCCTTTTCCACTTGAAATTTTTTAGGATGTTAAAAATATGGGGGATGCCTAGAGTATCCTAACAGAGTGCATGTGGTAAGGTCTGCTATTCCAATATTTTTTATCAGTGGCATCAGTGTGCAAACTTTTCAAAGGCGCAAAAGGGAATTGGGTACTTACTTCCTACCCTGTGCCTAAATCCTCTCTGTGCCACTGGAGACCTCTTCCTAGATTAATAACCAACAAACTCTGAAGAACCCATTTCCAGATGTGAAGCTGGATTTATGATACTAGAAATTCTCAACAGCGACAAAGTACTGAATTTATGGTTCATGTTTGGATTCTTTCAAAAAGGGTCACTTACAGAATTTTGTTCGAGGTTTTCCTATTAATCGATATAAAAGTTAAAATGAGGAGAAAGATCAAGGAGTGATTGGCAGGTTCCCACAGGTTTGCAGGCGCTCACTTTAGTGACATTTATGAAATGTTAGAGAAACTGAGAGTTACCAAAGCATCAGCCCACACTTTGCAGGAAGTCTAAGTCATTTCAGTCTACAGAGAAAATGAAAAGTGTCTGTTTCTTTAAATCTTTAATGAGATGCGGCACATACTGCACCAAGGATTTAAAAGCTAAACAAACATTGGGACCTGCATTACATCTCTCTTCTTTGACTATCTTTAGTAAACAAATGCAGTTTAAAGCATTGTACTTAATGATATTGTTATTAACCCTGTTATTTTTTGAGGCAGTGTATCTCAGTCACTGCACACTGACAGTGTGCAGTTTAGATAGCTCTAGGGATACTTCACAGTTTGTAAGTAAGTAAGCATCAGTGGTGAAGTTGCCAGATTGCTTTGTGAGTGGTAGTGCTCTGGCTTTGCCAGAGCAGATACCTTCCAGCTGCACGCTGACTGCAAAGTAACAAGAAATGGCAAGAGTTACTGAATGAGAATAACTCCTGGAAGTGACATTAGGGTGGCCTCCCTAAAAGGAATGAGGAGGGATAATTGCCTGACATTCTTGGGGCCAGAGCTGTGGCATTTCTCTGAGACCTGCAAATTTCTTCCAGGCTGTCTATGGTACTGTAACGCCAAACCACTAGCAACTCATTACACTCCTACCAGCAAAGCCTGGCCCTGGCAGCTCAGTGCTTTAGTAGCCAATATTAACTTATTATCCTAAGTAAAAATATTTGTAACAGGTGTGTGCCAGACACATTTCCGATCTCATTAAGAAGCTAAAAAAAAACACCAAATAAGGCAAAAGGTGGATTTTGGCTGCCATCCAACAGAACACATAAGTGCATACCTACTTAGAATGTGAAAATTCTCATTACTTTTGAAGAACATATATCTTTAGTATTAGCATTTAGATTATCTCTTGACTTACAGTTGTTGATTTTTATCTTGAGTGTTGTAAAAATGCTTGATCATCTGCCTTAAAGTCTTCTGTCTTGGAGAGATCCTAAGTAGACAGTAAGCTCCATAACATTTGCTGTGTGAAGGCTGACAGTGTGTATGCCTTCATCCCCTACCCCCGGAAACAGAGCTGGGGCCATACTCAGAGCACAGCCTTTCTGAGACATGGCTAGTATGGAGTCTACCTGCTCCGTGTAACCTACAGGCAGAGGAGGAAATGTTTGATCTGCTCTGATCGTTCCTTCCTTTGGAGCTGCTTCATGGCCCCTACTGAGGGCAGTGGTGCTGAGTCTCTCTTGGCTACTACTAAAAGAAACACTGGGTCCCACAACTCAGTATCCTGTATTCTTTAGTTAGGCAATCTTTAGGTTGCAGCCTTAACAAAAGCTTCTTACCCTGCTTCCATCACAGGAGTGTTTGTACCTTGCACAAATACTTTTCAAATAATGTTTAGCTGTTTTGTGTTACACCAAAATACGTGAAATATGTGTCCTCTGAGGAAGGCCTCTGTGGGGCATCTGCAAACTGCAGACTGCCAGTTCAGTCACCATACTATGGTTGTTTGAACTGTCTTTAACCTGAACTGTGAGAGTCCTGGAGTACTTGGTCTAGCAAAACTCCATTGTCATAGTAATGGCCAATTATTTTAAAATAAGCTTTTCATAACCAAATCATAGGTAATAATTCCTTATATCCTTCACAGATATTTCCTTTCAAATCCTTGCTCCTCATGAAGCTGGAACAGCTCCTTGTATCTCAAGCAAACACATACAGAAAAACATAAACTAAGATCTTCTAGACACATGGAGAAGTATTGGATTCACTCCTGCTTGCCTGTTTTTAATTCCTGACACTGCCTATGTTACATAAACAGTTTTCAAGCAGAAATCCCCTTTTACTTTGATTAGTAGTTGCACTTTAAAATCAATTACATAATATATCCTTTGGGAAGGAAACCATTTCTGAGAATAAATGAACAGCCAGCTTTCTGGATCTTAGAAATAGCACTAAGATCTGTTAAAATGCAAACCAGCTGTTCAAGAAGCTCCTCAGAGGCTTCTAAAAGACAGAAAAGATTTGACAATTGAACTTCAAGCAAAAGTGCTTAGGTTAAAAAGTAAGTAATTTTAACAAGACTTTGATGTCTGATTATCTGAAATTAGGAACTTCTTAGCTCACTAATTTCCTCTGGTTTTCATAACCGAGTTCATTAGCTAAACACCAACTGGACTTCAAGGAGTGTATTGATGTGACACAAATCACAAAAAATACAATTTCTTAGGAGGCCTTGTAAGGGGCAAGAAGTAGTTTTTGTTCTATTCATCCAACTGCATTTGTGCAAAAGCTCTCTGTGCTGTGCTAGCAACCCGAAGCTGTCCTTCCAAATCAGTGGGCTTTGGGTTTTAATCACTGCAAGTAAATGAGCTATTCTAGTTACCAAAAGAGAAACAGTTGCCAATCATAGTAGAGAAGAAAGCAGACCCACTGCAGGGCATGAAATTAAATTTTCCAGGTAGTAGCCAGTAATTGATACCATAATGTGACCTTTGCCAATAGCAGCCAATTTAGAGCTGCGTGGAACCGTAGCCGAAGCAGGACAGAGGCTATGATCACCAGCACGCTTGCTCAGCAAAGACAGTGCTCTCTGCCTTCACTGGCAGGTAGACCTGTGCCTTTGTAATTCATACGAAGCAAGACTCTCACCTGATGCAGACAGCACCCCAGGAATATCTTTACACAGACCTATTTTTAATAACATTTTTTGTAACATGGCAAAATAACAGTACAGTAAATCTGCATACAAATTACAAGGAACTGACAGGTCTCCTTAATACTAGCATATTTTATGTGCCCTTAGTCAATGACATTTTTTTCCTCAAGCTCAAAAACTAATGAAGAACCTGTATCAGTAATCCTCATTTTATTCCCTATAGAAATCAGGCACAGGGGGATTCTACACCCCTTTTAAATTGCCAAAGTCTCTGGGTTTCCACTGACTAAATAGACAGTGAAGCTGGGGATTCCCATGTGAGATTCTCTCTCACCCTTGAGCCATACCCACAAACCAAGCCACCTGAGTGAGGCACACATCTGGCCCAGCCATCCTAGATAAGAGAAACAAGCATTGATGGAAAGGAATTTATCTCAGCTGCAGGCTCAAGCAACTTCCAAACGTGCCCGTTTCAGATTCACTACTGCTCAGCATCACCAAACTCCCCAAATAAGCACATACCAAAGAAAAGGAGGATCAGTCTTTGTCTACCTGCTGAAGCCAACAAAAGCCTTTTCCAAGAACTTCAGATGAAGACCTCAACTGTCGTGTGCTATCAATGAAATAAAAAGTAACTTTGCCACCAGCACCACTCTGCCCAGATGACACTACAAAACTGAAAGTACACATAAGGTAGTCTTTGTAAAGTGTCTTTCCCACCTTACAAAATGCAGCAGCAGCTTAAAGCAAGTCCCCATGCCCACTACTGAGGGACTTCCTGTGGATTTTCTCCAGCACATTTTTCTCCATAAAATCAATAGGACTACATGTGCATTTAGAAGCAGGCAGTATTCAGCAGATAGGTGTCCGAAATAAGACCAGTATCACTGGGGCTTCCTCATGAAGCGCCACTTATATTACCGAGTATCAAATCTGCTGCTGACAATTTTACTGCTCTACTGTAGAAACAGTAATGCATTCTCTCAGGCCACTGAAATCTGAAGCTGTGCGCTGAAGACAAAAGCAATAGACCTGAGAAATGCTGAAAATTCTATCAGCTCGGAGAAAATAGATACATATCATTTAGAAATGTTGCTCCAACCCTAGTTGTTTCCCAGATTATTTCTTCTTATAAATATGCATCTATAATCAGACATGAAATTCTAGATATTTAATTAGAAATGCCTCCCGAGTTTGGGCTTATTAGAATAAAAAAACAAGTGCAGAAGCAGAAAGAGATTTAGAAAAAAAAAATCCCCACACAATTAGATATAGCTCTCTCAGCCATGTCATTTTGATTGCAGAGGACTGGAGTCACAGCTCCCTATTCAATTTAGATTGCAATCAGATTCTAATTCAGATTTCAATTAATATTCTAATTTTAGGGAAAAAATGCTACAATAGTAAAGAGAAAAATTACTTGTGAGGACTCACCATACAGGATGTAATGAAGGTCAAAGTTCAGAAATGCAGGGATGAATGGAAACCAGCACGATAATGAAATCACACAATTTCATTACGATCATTGCGTGCTAGGGAAGGGCAACCAAGCAGGAGATGTCCTTTCCCCTGTCACTTGGATGGCTACAAAAATAACTTCTCAACTCACTGTCATTTGACCTTTCTGCAAATGAGACCAATAGCTATCACAAATTTCTTCAACATGCTGGTAGCACCGACAAAGGAAAGATGACACTTGGCAGTCCTGCTGTCATAGATAGAACTCACCCTCAGACTGCTGTCACTGAATTATATTACACAAGCAGGAAGGGCTTGAGTGTCCCTGGACAACAAAGAATTTTGTTGCTCCAGGATGCGGATGAAGTTACTTCTTGGCAGAAGATATGTGTGACATGTTTCCTTCCACCCGTGCACCCACCTGCATGTACACACACAGACCTTGTTTTCTTCCTGGCACTGTGCAAATCCTCTTCTGCCCAGGGTGATGTACTTTCACCTCCTGTGCCAGCCCCCAGCACTTCTCCTGCATCCTCTCTCCTTGCAGCCTTTCATTCATATGCCTTCTGCACCCACTCTTCTGGCCCAAACAACCCTGCAAGGTAGCTCAGTTAAATAGGTAAATCCACGGGCAAATGGCTCCTGACAGCCATCAACATGTAGAATCAGGTAGGCATCTGCTTCTGTTTGGCTTTCAGGTTGGCTGTGGTCTTCTGCTTGTTCAGGAACTTCCAGCAGATGGTGAAAGCCAGCCCATAGTGGTAATGGAAAATCAGAGTCCTGAGGAACTATGTACAAAAAATAAACATTTTCCCTGTTTTTAACAGAGAGTCATAAGGAGTTTCCTGTGAAAACCTGACTATAGAATATGCCATGGCTAGAATGGGAATTTCGTGTGAAAATACTGCTCGTAATTGTAGTGTGGAAAATACCTCAGATACTGTACAGAGGTGAGATACAGAGCACAGGACAACTTTTAACTGACAGCTTAATCTTGATAATGTGTGGTCCCGAAGCCAAAAAAAAAAAAAAAAGGACATAACACTCTGCTATTTGTCCATGAATATTGACATGCAGAGTAGAGGAGGTAAAAGTGCAGGAGGCACTGCCTGCTGAGGCACCAAAAGCCAGGGCTTTCTAGCAGGGATGCAGAGGCCAGGCATTGAGAGACCAGGGCCAGGGGTTACCTGGGAGCATGGGCAAATGTCTGCATCAGAAACTGAGATGCCAGAGCTCTTGCTTCAACACCAGCTCAGGTGAAGTAGCCCTTAGCTTAGCAGTGTCCCAAGCTGACAAAGCCTTCCAAAAATTAGGACTTATTATCTGAACTCCAGACTGTCAGAGCAGTGGTGAGCACCACCAGCCCTGCACAGCCTAGCCTGCACCTTGGATGCTGCCCTGTGCTTCCCCCAGTGCTTTCCCTGCCCACTCAGTCTTCCCCCCAGCTGCTCCTGCCATCCTCTGTTTCACAGTGTAGTTGTACCTGTGCCTGACATGTTGAAAACCACATTCTTGTGCTTTCCTTTCCATTTTAGAGCCACTTGCTAATTGAAGGGGAACTGCAAGCAGTTTGCTTCTTGGAGAAGTCTGATTATGGGGCCCAATGACTGGGATTATGCTTTCTGTGTTCACCTCCCCTTGCCATCACTCCTCTCCCTCCCTTGCTGTCGGGTTTTAGTTTTTTTTCAAGCTATGGATTTCGGTGTTAATCCCTAAAAGGGGTGAGAACAGATAGCCTGCCTCCTGAATTTACTCATCAGCTAGATAACTACATCGTGAAATTCAGCAAACATGTTATTTCTGTCCTAATGAAGTCCTTTTTCAGTTGAGCTAAAGTACACCCCTGGCTAGCCTTGGTAGACCTGAACTTTTCAAGGTGCTTTGTGTGGAGATTGGCAGCTAGCCCAGGGCAAAAGTGTTCTGCATAGAATCAGGCTGAGACCTTGGTGAACTAGCACAATGAAGAGTTCAGTAGCCAATCAATAAGACAGCCATCAACATCAACTTTAAGGGCGCCTTTTAGGGAATGTGATTAATTTTATGATAACATCTATGAACTAATAGTTGAGTGCTCTCAGAGCTTTTGGTGAAAGCAATTATTTAGATGTGTGGAGGTTATTGTTCTGTCTACATCAAACACTGAGGGAAATAAAGTCTAAAAACACCAGAGTTCCTTCAGAAGCAACAATATAGGCTGTGTGCATGTCCCAGCTCAATGCTTGTATTCGTGCAGCCATGTGAAGCTTGGTGTTAATTTTTTGAGACCTTCCTCCCTAATCACTTCTTCACGGCACCAAGCAGCACCCACCCCACAACAATATGCCCGGATTAGAGCCAAAAATTCCTCAGTTTATGGCTACAGTTCAATCTTTTTGTATGTTTCTCATTTAGATACAGATCAAAATTGGAGGAAGTGTAAGAGGCTTTCTGCTTCTCGAGGTGGCAAATTTCTCACAAATTCAACAATTTCCCTGGCATTTTTGTTTTGGGATGAAATCTGACACACAGATTTTGAAATTTTGAGAGATTAGCCCTAGTCTCTATTCAGATCTGAGCTGTAAACTACATCAACCTTGTGCAAAGTCTCATTCAAACCCTGCATAAAGTTGAAGAGGAACAGAAATATATTCCAATCTTATTTTAGGACATTACTCCATCCTATCTCACAGACTTTTACAGTTATGTTCATTAATTTTCTACTTTCTGTCACCAATCCTCTATTTCAGCCATTTCAGAATACCCCCTGAACCTCCTTTACTGTGAAATCTCAGGCAGGTTTCCTTTTCTCATTGTAGTGATAGTATAATGGATTTTTTAAAATCTTACTGATGCTGGGAAGTGGCAGATTTTGTTAATGACATTTTTGTGTCATGCTGGCCTTCTTAGTAATCTTTTTACATGGTGGTGGTGAGCAAAACGTAGCGCAAGTGAAATGATATTTCAGTTGAAGTCTTTTGGTCAGGAAAGAACCAATTTCATCCTGCAACACACAAAAAATAAATGGAAACATCAGAAGATGTGAAAAAGGATTTTGCACTGTTAGAATTTTTTTTTTTTTTTTAAAAAAGACTATGTCTATATTTATTAGGATTATAATTTGTGCTTAACTTGTGATTAACTTTTCACAAGAGCATCTGGAAATAGAAAGGGGCCAGTTATAGACAGTGCATAGTCTTGAATTCCTAGAATACTGCAAGAACTGAAATCTGCAGGGCACCATCTGTACTATTGTTTGACTGCTGAGAATCTTGAAAGCAGCCTTTTTACAAAGAACCACTGTGCTTTAATTACAAGTTTAGGGGAAATAAAGCCAAAGAAATTTCTGGCAGCACCCACACTGACAGGAAATTCAAACATCTTCAAGCACATAAGCCAAGGAAGCTGCTGAAACTGAACTCATTTGGAGCAGGGCTTAGTTTCGATATGTGTGAGATGAGCCCGAGGCTGGAGGTGCTTGTGTCAAACAGAATGAAAGAGAAGAAGCAGCAGGAAGAGGGCGAGGCTGATTAGAGCACCAGAATATACTTCTGTGAGTATTTGGTGGATATTTCCATGCCTACCCTACTGCCTCCCTGCTCCTCCTGCATCCCTGCAGGAGTCTTTTGTTCTTGGGCATGATGCCAGCCCTAAGCAGAGTAGCTGGGACTTGCCCGGTAGGAAATCAGCATTTCCTTATGCCCTTTGGGGCAGACCGTGCTCACAGGGTTGGCATAAATTCTCCTTTCCTGTATGTGCCAGCTACTTACAGAGACTGACACTGTCATTTTATGCCCTTTCCACATATCCTCTGCTTGACACATGGTGCACCATCTCCTCAAACTGTTAATCATCAGTACAAATTCCCTCTGGCTTCCTCTGAGTTGTTTTCAAAAAGATCCCACTTTTTTTGATCTAGCTGTATATTTATTCTTTCTGATCTCGTTTGCATTTATGCACATAACACGCAGACACATCAATTTTGCAACCACTATTAGCATCAACTTAAGGTGAACTCTAGCAGACAAACAAAACACAGCCCATTTTGATCTGCCAGGCTTAAATGGGTAGAATCTATTGAACTAAAAGGAGTAACTGCAAGATATTGCAACAGATTGTGAACTAAATCTTTTAAATATTGGGTAAGCTATGATTACTGGGGACCAACACCCTTGAAAAATTAAAATGTGCAGAAACCCGAATTGCTTTTCTGAGGGGGGGGGGAGCAAAACCCAGCCAAGAACAAACCGCAAAAAAGCTAATGTCCCCATAAATAAGCTATGAAGACCTTTACTCACATTCAGTTGTTTGACTCAGGTATGCCACATTTCACTTTCTATAGCCATTGTGTACTTGATTTGCCTGACATGCTCGTTGTTCTGGATGGGTTGTTCTTCACAACTCAAACAAATCACCATGTCCTTTTATTTCTAAAATGAAAAATCTCTTTGCACTCCAAAAAGATTTTCTATCTTGGCTACTATCAAATATTTTCTTTCCTCACTAATAAAGCATCTACATAGTTCTTCTATTCCTGAAAATGACATCTGAAGGACTATTTGAGCTGAATCGGTGATCCTAGCTAGTGACTCACCATCAAGAAAGGCTTTGCACAACAGGCTCCCCGCACACCGCTTCCTATGCAAAAACTGGCAGCAGTGTCCTTCACTGAGCTCCCATCAGCTCTTTAGAAGGGGCAAAATTGCAGCGACCTATAGGCCCTTCCTGCTGCTAAACAACCGGTGAAAATTTGCAGGGGCAAGAAAGACTGCAAACTAGCATGTAGTGCAGCTGGCACATTCTCATAGGTAATCTGGAGGAACACTCAATGGCAGGGTGCTTGCTTTGGGTCTCATAGCTGAAGGGGTTGAAGGTGCTGCTCCTTCTAGGAAACAGCTGAGCTCCTAGTAATGAAGGACGTCTGCTGAATTTAGCATTTTAAGGTATTACTAGTAAAACTGCACCAAATGCAGCATTGAGCCTCCTGCATATTCTCTGTATGGACGTTGTTGAAACACTGTCACAGTAGATATAACATTCATGTCCAGAAAATCATGATTGCAAATCAGTGCACAAACAGATTCTAGCAGACCAGGGAAAATTAACAGCTGATTTTTGTATTTTCTGAATGCACAAATCAGTTCCTTGTTTTGTAGGGTACAAATACTTCTCTTGCCTGAGCTGAAACCAATGAGTTTTCATTTCTATCTAAGAAATACAACCCCTGACCTCTTTCTTGGCACCAAATGCTATTCTGCTGTCTTCTGCTACTTGCCCCTGTGAGTACTTTTCTTCAGCCTTCAGGGAGCTGGGCTGGCCCTGTAATGACAGTG